AGGGGGTAATGCAGCCACTTTGCAGAGACCGAATCGAAAATCTCCCGCTGAAAATATACAAGTGGCACGCGCAGTCACAGAAGATGTTGTACATGCCTAGAAAGGTTGTCAGTGGCTAAATGACGTGACTACATGTAAATGTACTTGTACTAGTATGCTAAACTACATCATATACAATAGTGAACTGTCTGACGAGGAAGGGCAAGAGGTAATGCGTTCTCTGAGGGCAAGAGTTTTGTATCACCAGGACAGGTTCAAGTAAACCTTTTGTGTATTCGTTGTAACTAAACTAAAATGACAAAAACCGCCTCTGAGACATCATGGAGTTGCCAGCAAGGCATAACCTCTGTTGAGAACTGAACAGATGAACAGAAAAGCAAAAAGTACAGAAACCAGAAACTCAAAAATGGTGCAAAGGAAGTCCACTAAATCTTGAATTCCTCCAATTTGATTAGCAGGTTCCCTCCATGCCACGCTCTCATCCACTGAATTTGTACGACATGTCCGAATATGGGGCTTGCAGTGAACCAGTTCAATTAAGCAACTCGCTGCGATCCAGCATGTCACATGTCTGGGGATGTTCTTACGGGATTACATTTCCAACGCTAATTAGCTCAAACTGTAATCAAATCCGAGCAGAAAAGTTGCCAGCTGGACCAGACAATCCTGCGGGCAATCGGCAGGGTGCCAGGGACACATTATTGTGGGAAGATTTCCCTGCTCAGAACGTTGCCTTTGTTAACTACAGGTATAGCCAATAAAACTAAGACAATGTGCATTGCTATTCAAAGAGTGCGTGAACTGCGTGTTGGAATACTGAACTGTGAAATGCCTCTGACAGATAGATGAATGATGAGTTCATAAATGGCGGACACTGTCTAATTACATGTTAGATCACTCCCTTCCCTTGAAATTGCACCGAGTAATTGGGTAATAACCCAAAACATTTCTCAACGGGTATTAAAATTGCTTAGACAGTTTTCATACTGATGAAGAGATGAAGACAGGTTCCAAATAAACTTGACCCCCCCAACAAAAATCAGGGCGCACTGTGTTGAGGGAGCAATAAGTAATGGGGACGACAACAAACTTGTGGAAGGCTCGGTTAAGTGTTCAGACATTTCCAGAATTAATAAGACGTGTCAGTTCTGAAAACTAGGGCAAATATGTTGTGGGAGGGGGAAACAAATGATTAAATGGGCCACTCCTCCAGTGCAGGAATTCATTTCATGCAGAAATACAATTTGCAGAGTAACATCAAAATTATGTGAGCCAACAATCTTAGTTTGTTGGTCAACACACCGCACATGTACACAGCCAATAAGCCTCGTTTGGACAACGCAAAAGAAATGAAGCAAGAAAGGAGACCACTGAGAGCCAGTGTTCTTTAATGATGAGGTGAAGTTCTCACAGTCAAGGTCTACACCAATACACAACTACACGTACCATGCAAAAATAATTTCAAATGTTATTATAATTTATGAGTGGCTGACAATCAATACTGTATATGGTTTTTCTCTCACAAGATTACTGTGTGATGAAGTTGCTGCTATAAAGGGATTAATGATTCATGGGGAAGATATCCCGGTAACATTACAAGACTGGACTTAGATGGGCAACAGGGAACTTAGTGCTGATTAAAATGCAAACAAAAATTCAGGAAAGTTTGTATTTTTCACCTGATAAATGTAATTAGAACTTACTTTGTAATCACAGACAGAGCTTAGCTGTGGGGGGGGTCATTACGACATTTGGAAATAATGTCCTCTCTGTCCATTACTTCAATTGTTTTATTTCAAATTTGCAAATTGCAGTCAGAAAACTGGAATTGTTTTGAAGTTGAGAGGTGTCCAGTTTCTGCAACCGGAGACCCGGCGGGCAACACCATCAAGATGCACTGGATGGCATGCTGAACATGAATGCCAGACTCCACAGCCTGGCAAGCAGGACTCTACAAAGGATCCTTGTGTGTGCTTTCCCCTTTGTCCTCAGTGGGAGTGAGCCTACCACCCCCCCTCCTCTTTTGTCTGGACATCTGGGGTCCCCATGGGGTCACACACTGACTAATTACCATGGTGTCTGGGACCAATCTGGGGCCAGTCTGGTGGTGACTCACTGGTTGTTTTTGGGGGAGGGAGGCTGCCTGCTGAGAGTAAGGTTTTTCTGGGTTATGGAGAGTTGTGGTTTTAAGTAGAGAATGGAACTGCAGTGTTAATGACCTGGTTGTGGATCACAGACTTCCATTTGGGGGATTCATTGTCCAGACCCCCTGTAAATGAGGTTTGCACCACTCCCCTAGGCAAATGCTGTGTGTTTTGTCATCCTGAAAGGCCTTCCCACACAACACCACTATTTGCTTCTTCACTATAATACCTACATATCTATACACCAACAAACCACAAACAGCCTACTTTACAGGTACTGCAGCAATTTCGTTTGGGTTTCAGTTTTTTCAAGGCCATCAATGTGGCAGCAACTTCTTAACACAACCTTCTGAAATAATCTTGCACATGTGCACATGTTGTTGTTTACCCCTCACAATCCATAGAGCCAATTAATAGATCTTCTGGTTGGAATGGATCCAAATGAGTTACACGCACAGGTCTTAACCATGTACTGCCAGGCAGAAGTGAAGCCCAAGTTCCACCAACGAATGGCGTTGAGGTACAGTACACTGTAGGCCTATCCCCTTCAACTTGGATTTCGCTTCAAGGCCCATCTCATTACCAATGACACAAAACGAAAAAAAAACAGCGTCCTGTAAAAATACACCGACACACACTTGCTAAATTGATTAAGTGATTTCAACCCAGACTGTGGTGCATGTATTTTTACAGGTGAGCACAGAAGGTTTCAGGCACCTTTCCATATGTACGTCAACACTTGCACCAAGCATTGTGTATCCGTCAAAATCACTAACCAGGCAATTTTGACGGCTGAACACAACACATACGTGTGTTATGTTAATGAGGCCAATTTTTTGTGTCTGTGACAGTGAAACGCATCATGTACGCAGCAAAGGCAAAAAATGTATGGAGAGGCAGACTTAATGTGCTATTCCAGACAGCCAATAGAAGAAACACAACCTGTTGTGACTGTGAAAGCCGCAATGACATGATGAACCTTAAGATGTAATCATTTTAGAATTGAAGTACTTCTCCATCATGGTACAGACACAACAAAGTAAGCCCAACTACATGTATATAAATTGCAAAAACAGATGAGTGACTTGACTGCGTAACATGTAACGAGAAACTCAAAAAACTGCAACATTGTTGGGGAAACACAGGCCATTCACAATACAGTGCACTTGCAAGAGGTTGACATAGAAAGACCATTTTGGCAGAGCATTACAGGTTGAAAAATTGGATTCACCAGCTGAGCACAAGGACCTTGAATTGTTCCCCAATGTTTGTCAGGGAGGAGGCAGTTTGAAATTAATTCTGTATTCTTTCTATGCACAGCATACCGGTACATGTAGAATTCAATCAAAATTTTCAGAAGTTGTCTTCTGACATACGTTCATAGATCATGTACCAGCACATGTATGTACATTTAAATCACAGCAGGGTGACCTTGCTTTTGTCAACCATAAACTTGGTGGGGCACTGCACTACAAGTACATGTACATTATACATTAAAGGGCACTTCTGGGCCACATTAGAAAACTGGACAGAACATTGGAGACCATGCACCTCTGCAAAGACAGCTGCAACCCTGAATGTGACAAGGCCAGTTGACCAGAGGTACCCAGGCTTGAGAGATTGCAGCTGGGCCCTTAAAACAATCATCACCTAACAGCTACAAGTAGTATTGTTGCTGAAAGGATTTAAGTTCTTCAAGGCTATTCTAATCAGTCCCCAGGAGCTTTGGAACAACCCAGGGGGGCCCTAACACATTGAAAAACTTTGTCCAAGCAGTCGGGTTTTTCTTGCATCCCGGTAAATTAAAGAAAAGGCCTGCATGTACTCGTACTATGGCAAGTGCGATTTTCACTGGGCACACAAGTTTATTGATTTGTTGAAATGAGGGAGTACATACAAAAGCCCTGAAGTGCCATCAAGTATATTCAAAACTGAAGTATGATTTTTCCAAGTCCATTTTTATCAATTAATTTTTTTTCAAGTTCATTTTACGAGTTTTCTTTGAAATTTTGTTTGGAGATGCATGTACATTCTTCAGTTCCTTCTTATGAGAAATTTAGAAACTGCTGCTTTTTTACAAAAAAAAAATTTTATGAGATAGTTTGTTTTAATGAGGTATATTTGTAAAAGCTTGTTTTTATGAGATATATTTTCGAAAATTCTTTATTATAAGTTGCATCTTTTAAAGTTCATTTCGGCTCCTGTGTAATTCCGAGCCACTGCCGAGAACTTTGGACACAGCCTCACAAAACTGCATGTAGGGTAGTCTAACTGACCCATGGGCACCTCAATAAAAGTCATACTACTATTAATAGGGTAGCTGCAGGAATAAAAAAAAAGAGGGGAACGTGACTTGTCGGTCACAACACTCTAATCACTTTCAGGTGCCAATTTTGTGACAGGAAAACACACAATTATTGGCTCCACTCAGGAAAACCTGACGGGAAAAGGGCAATATTTCTTTTTGCCCAAAGAGAGAGGGCTACGCCCCATCTAGACTGAGAATGGCAAGGTTAAAAAGGTACATGTAGGGCTCCTGACCCAAATAATGGGCTTATTAGCAAGGAAATGCATCCTACTGGAATGAGTCAAGACAACTTAACAGTCTGTGGCAGGGATAATAGGCCCGGGGAAGTCAAAGGAACAGTTTTTTAGGTCAAAGGTTACAACACATCAATGTCAACAATGCAAAGTACAACATACGTACAGCACAGTGTATATTATCCAATGTTCCAGAAGTAGAATGTATTTCCCAAGTTCAACCGACAGTTGTCATTGGCAGTGAAAACTTCTGAAATTGACATTTGCTGTCAAATAACACTTTAAGAAAGTTCCAGGAAGTATCTCTCAACTTACCAGCAGCAGCTGGAGACGTCTTGTTGAATCAAGGGTATCTGGGCCCCTTAGTACTAGGAGATGATAACAAACGGATGACCTTCGTTTCTCTGCCTGAACAGCTCTTCCTCCAAACTCACATTACTGGAGGGAAGGAAGACAAGTAAAACAAATCACCTGTCACATAAGATGGAGGAACAGTAGCAAGTGATGACTGATGTCTTTCCAGGGAGCATAAAAAAGATTGCCAAGGCCTCACAAGGAATGATCCAATTTTTTTACGTTTACCACCGATGCAGTAGATTTTGTCCCCCCCTCTCCAGAAAATTGCATCAGTGAAATATATGGGGTACATCTTGACCTGTGGACATGCCAAGAGTTTCTTAATGGACTCCTGCATGCAGAAAGTACTTGGCCGACGTAGGGGAACAGCCCCATAACAGCCACACAGCATGAATTTATGGGTCTACTCTCTGGCACAATCAGGCAACTGCACATCAGCTGCAGCGCATACAACCCTGACATTGACAACGGGGCAACTGCACATCAGCTGCAGCGCATACAACCCTGACATTGACAACGGACTTGCCAATCATTCTAATGCCTCATGCCATGCCGCCAGAAATACAAAATATACAATGTAGTAGCATACACACTCAGCCTGCAAGTAATCTCCAATCTGCCCACGGTACCCCACTGTTGTAACCATTACATGCCACATCTAATTCGCACATTACAAGACCACTCACATGTACTCTTTGACTGACTTTAGTACACAAACACACGGTACACTTAATGTACAGTACAGAGGCATCAAATATGCAGTACCTGCATTGTGCTAGGCGTACCTTGCATTTGGAAAAACATTTTATATCACAGAGGCAAAACGCACAGTGAACAGCAACAGAGATATGTAAATGTTAACATACAAAGGCAATTGGCAAAACGATGTTCCTCCTTCACAAATGAACCTGCAAACTGCCTCCCAGTCCACATCAGCGAAAGTGATTTTTCTGCGAATGCCGTGCTTATCTGGATGCAGTTCAGCTCAGCAGCAGAACATCTACAGTGGTCTGAATACGAAGGGGCACTAGCGACAACAAACAACTCTGGGCCCCTATAGACTGCCCTGCCAGAGCTATGTAGCTTGGCATCTCTCCAGCTGGCTGGGTCTAGACTGGCTCCCCCAGTCACTTTTGACACTTGAAACCCGACGACAGATTTAAGGCTCTTTTCTAGCTCAACCAAGATTGAAAGGGAGGGGGGGATTGGCGGGAAGCTCGTTGCAGAAGGCAAATAACTCCCACAAAATGTCCTGGCAGAATGGGCATCATTCTGTCCCATAAACAGCAAACCCAAATCAGCCATGGATCAATTCAGGCATGTGATTGTTTTGAGACAGCTCCTTTAAGTTAGCATCACATGAACTCTTTCCTCAGATGGGGGGGGGGTTTCAATGGGACAATAATCCAAGGGTAGCCAGAGAGTGGCATTACTGTTTGGCTGTTAGACAGATGAAAGGGGGGGATAGCAGATACCCATAGGGTCCTGCTGGTACACTGTATATATTGGGATTAGCGTTCAGATTGACTGCAGGCTGAAGCTCAGATAAAATCAAAGTCAAGCCAGTTCACACAACACACCCAATGAATGGTTTCCTTGAGGTGCAAGAGTGTACTGTATCTCCGGGCTCAATTCAGAGAGACTGTGTATTGCTGCTAAGATTCGATAAGAACTGAGAGAACATAAGGCTGCCTCAGGTCAAATGAAGTCAGGGGTCAGATGAGTCACTGACCAAGTTTGGCCACATTCATGTACATGTAACTCACTCAAAAAGAGTCTTTTCCTTCCTCTGTGGTTGCTGTAACTACCGGTACTTTTGAGTGAGGGGCTTTTGAAGTCTGGGCAAATCTTGCACAGTGGAAATAAAGTTGAATAATCAATGCTTTCACCCACTTCATGGCTGTTTCAATCAGGACACGTGCCTGAGCGACACGGTGAGCTTAAAATATTCTTTCCACTTCACACGAAAAACAAACACGCTTGTAGATCAATACCTGGCATTTAGAATCCATATCTCCTAACATTATACTTCCCCCCAGGAGCAACCAGACACAGGAATCCAGTTATTGCACCTACTACCTTTCCTAACCAATGTCAGGGGATCAAGGCAGTCTGCATTATCCTGTCAAATGAAGGCAGCATAAGGCACTACCCCTTGGGTGCAACTGGGGTCAGAGAGGCCCAGCATGGGCACCAGGAGCCTGGGAGACACTGGTCCCTGCTGTGAGCAGCCCAACTGAACTTGCGTCTTTCCGCAAAAAACAAGACAAGTGGGCTCCATGTTATCCAACTGACCAGAGGTAATAACATGTTTAAGTGCAGAGACAAACAGTGGCGCTGTGGCTAACCTCCGAGTCTTATTCAGCAAAAAAAAGTTGATACTGGGATACAGACCTCAGATGATGGATGACGCCAGGTTGAATGATGCATTGGACCACAATGCATACCTTGTACATGGTAAACATCCACTCCAAGGGTGGAGCCAATATTTCAGAAAGGGGTGGAAAAGCCCTTTTTTTTTGGTCCCCGGTTTCTACAATGCATGTGTGATTGAGAGTTGGTGAAATCTATGCGTAGGTAGCGCTGAGTGCAGATACATGTACATGTACGACGTGTATGCCACCTGAATGTATGAAAAACTACAAGGTCATCTAAAAATTGAACACTGGGCCATCAGCTTATTGACAGCCTAGCTTCCCTATCGCCAATGAGGGGGTCCCTGGGCACGGAATCCAGTAACTTTTCCCCTAGAAATGACAGAACATTGTTGCACCCTCGAAAGTCATCCAGTCTTTAAAAAAAAAAGTTAAGTCACAGGCATCATGGAGAATTTTCCTCTGCGATCACTGCTCACCCTGTTACTTGTGACCAATCTGAAAAAAGGCTTGTAACAGGACTTGTGAGGGGCTGGACTTGCTCCATTACTGGTACAACACTGCAGAGCATGGAATGATGGGAAAGACCACAGGTCTGCAAGCCTGCAAATACAAGTATCGCTGAGCCTCCTTCCCTGGGCCCCCTCTCAATGGTGTGTCTCATTGCACAGTCTGTGCTCCAGCTGGAGACAACATCGAGAGGGGGTGGGGCACCTGGGAGCCTGGGACGGCATGCTTAATGCAATACATGTACGTCCCAATATGTTGGGTTTGTGGCTGGCTGGAAAAGCACTTTCAAAAGGGGAAGGGGAAATGGCGGTTCACAGTACGGTACATTATCTTTAAATAGTAGGCTGTACATGCAACAGCCTCTAGCTACAATGCAATTCAGCTTTGGAGACCTGGCTTTGCTGATGAAGGCAAAATCGGGGGGGGGAGAAATCAGTCTTACAACATGTGTAAACAATATACACCAATTTCAGATTCCGTTGGGGAGTAGGGGTACAAAATATGAAGGAGATTAGACCCAGACAGAATCAGGGCATCTTGGGTGAAAGGCTGACAGCTCTCTCTTGGTCTCCACTGCCAGCCTGAGTGGAATGAAAAGCTTCATCCCCAAGAGTGTGATAGGGAAAACTGCTGGGTGCACAGGTGCTGAATTCTTTATGGCCGCTGCAGCAGGGGGACAGGAAAGGCAAAGGGGGGGGGGAAGAGGCAACAGGCAGATGAAAATATGTAGGATTTACAATGCGCCGACAAGATTTGGCAAACTACCAGTACAGCCAGCGACTTCCAATATGAGTGATTTATGGTCACAATGTTCCTGCCAGATAATTCTCATTTGGGCCAGAGAGCCCAAGCTGTTGGGGTAATCCATCATATATCACTGGTCAAATCTGTTAACAAAAATTCTCCACACTGGATGGTGTGTTTTCTGCACCCATACCATTGGCAAGTCCTTGTACAATCAAAACAACTGGACTACATGCATGAATGTCAGAAGTAATAACAACTTTGTCGTGCTGACTGTAAATCAAAAGTTTGGTTAACTGAGTACATGTACGTATACATGTATGTAGACTGAAACTGTACAGAGACTGTACGCTGGCCATTTGTAAGTGCCTTGTACCATGGAGGAATACAACACACCTCCATGCCTGTACACACTGTGTTCATGCATCCATTTTCAGCCTACTTTAAAACATCTCCACAGAACATAAAACTGTATTGACACAGGCTATGTCAATGTTTTCCCTGATTTTATGCTGATCCTGTCTGTCCTCAGAGTTCACACTTCTGCTCAATTTGCCAGTTCATGCAAACATCAAGGTCATCGGACTCTCAAGCAGCACAGAGGCCATTCCCTGCAAGCCTGTGATTTCCATATCCTCTTCCACAATAACAATGCAATTTGACATCAATTAACAGCGCCATTTACAGACCCCGGGGTACTAAACATGGTCAGAAGTTAACACACTCTTGGACCTAAACTGTTTTTTTCCAGTTTTTATGACTTTTCCAACGACCAAACTTTTATTATGTACTGGTAGATGATCAATCGCAAGATCTGCTTGATATGTTTGCATTTACGCCTGAACAACGTTTGTGGCAGCACGCAGTTATCCACAACACTTTCATTCCAAGCAAATAAAATTTTTGGCAACTACGTAAACGTGCACATTGTACACACGCAGTAGGTTGGGGCATAAGAAGTACAGGCACTAGTAAGATTTGAACAGGATGATTTGAGGTATACATGTACATGTACATAAACATGTACATGTATATATGTACATGTATGTATTTGCATGGTACCACAGTATCCTTAAAGAGTATCTGCAATCAATTTTGTTATTACAAATCTGTAAAATGCACCTTTGTGCATCAGTAAACCATATTTTCAACTGGTTTCACTATTTTAAAGGGTATTTTAATGCCTTTTGGGGTTTTATGCTAATGATATTTCCATATTTATGAGCAAAACTGTGATGTCATCGCAGGAACAAACCTCAAGTTACATTGGCTTGTAAAAAACGAGAAAGTCCTGCATTTTTGTAGATTTTCCTGCACTAAGTTTTCAATTAGTAAATTCTGGGTTTACAGTTTGAACAGAGACACCTATTCACTGAACCAAGTCCTCCTTAGATGACTTCACAGCAACAGTGCTCTCAGTTGTCCGGGAAAACATGGATAATTTTGATTGTT